GAGAGAGAGAGAGAGAGACTGATCTCTAAATAGGCTTGTCTTTTCTTCATTGATAAATCTCTTGAATATCTGTTAATCATTTAGTCTATCCAGATTTTTTTTTAAAGCCCAAAGTGATCTTAGAACTGCTTGTTCTGTCTGACAAACACATGAAAAGACTTACACCAAAAAATGGAAGGAAGCTGGAACCAGAAATTGTTACAGATAAGTACTGCTGGCATTTCTGAACCATCCCCTGCTTCACTTCTAGACAGCAGTCACTGAACTGCAGATGTGATTCAAACATTCAGTCCTTACAGTCATGTGGAGATGTTGGCTTTATATCAAATACACTTACTTATATATATATACTATGTACTTATATTGAACAGTATATGAGCTCACTGCATCAACATCATCATCAAACATATTTCACTCTTCTCCTGTTGTTATTTTCCTGCTGACCTGCATGATGCTGTAGATGACCTCCAGTGAGGACTTTCACATATTCTGATTCATAACAGTTTGCAAGCTAAAGCAATGATGTAAAGTTCATCCCGAGATAAAATATCAGATTAATCGTCTGGAAAATCAGTTTCCAACAAATGCAACTGAGGCTGCTGAGAGTCCACATTTACACACACTGACTTTAAACCCTGGATGGTTTGCAGCAGCTTGTGACAGATGATGAAACCGGATTGTGGTGTATTAAATACCCCTTTAGTGACAGAGCTGAGTCCTACAGTCAGACAGTCTGCTCTATATGTGAGTTTCCTCTTTTGAAAAACCAAAAGCAAACTTTCATCATGAGTGCACAGTGACTGGGAGTCTAAAGCCAGGTCAGCAAACAGCAGGAAATAAAGTGTTCAATTTCCCATATTTCTTTTAAAAAACGATGATAAAAATGAATAGGCTACCTGTCAGTGGGTCGTAAGATCTGTCCAGCTCTCTGGAGTCAGACAAACTCTGGTCCTGACTCCTGGATTTCATGTTTGTTTCAGTTCTTACCAGACCACCGCGCTGAACCTGCCGGATCTGTACAGTATGTGCGTCGGAGCCGCAGCTCATCTACGAATTCATTCCTGTTTGCATGTCACTTTTCTGCAAGCATCACCAGCCAGTGCGTGCGGGCTGCAGACTGGTCGCAGATAGAAGAGCGACAAAAAGCGTAAAAAGTCCGCGCAAAAGCTGTCCTCTGTGCGTGCCTGCTCGCCTCTATCCAAAGTGAGCCCTCTCCTCCGCCCGCCCAGCAGCAGCGCGCACTCACACCCACAGCGCGCACTCACTTTCAGACGCTCCTGAGGGTTCAGACACTGAATGTGGATCCACAGCTGCTGCTGCTGCTGCTGCTGGGTCGGAGAAATCTGATGACTTTACTTTGCTGATTGTCCGTCTGTCAGCTGGAACATCTGCATCTGCATCTGTTTGAGAGAGAGAGAGAGAGAGAGCGAGAGAGAGAAACCATCAGTGGTGGAATGTAACTGAGTACATTTACTCAAGTACAGTTTGTTCTTTTCTTTCCACTTTATACTTCGACTTCACTACATTTCAGAGGGAAATATTGTAATTCTTACTGCACTACACGTCTCTGACTCCTAGTCACAAAACATAGGCAGAGTTTATAAAATATGATGTTTTGTTATAAACAGTATAGTACAGCAGAAACGATCAGTCGGTTGAGAGAAAATTGGCAACGGAGTTTGATAATTATTTAAATCAATTCTCAGGCCAAAACCTTTTGTTTGAAATATTTTTTATTGAGTCACAGAAAGTTATACATACAGTATTGTGTCAGTGCTCATTTTCATCTATATAAAAGAATTGTAAAGATGGATTTATTCACATTCATAGATATAAGATAGATGAAATAAAAGATACAGATTGTATTTGAGAATGGAACAGTATCAAACATTAGCGATAAATAAAGTAATTATTTGAAATAAAAAGTGAGAAGATAAAATTAATGTGAAAAAAATGATTAAAATGAAGGAGAAATAAAGTCAAATCTTTTATGGTTCCGGCTTCACAAATGCAAGGATTTTTTGCTCTTCCTTTCAGTTATTTTAATAAAATACTTGTTTAATTTTCCTATTAGTTGGACAAAACAAGCATTGTGAAGGTGTCACTTTGGGTAGTCAGCAGATTAATCTATAATGAAAATAATTATTAGTTTGAGTAAAATGAGCTCCACCTCAACCAAAGACAACAGGAATAGAGTTATACTACTGTAATGATATATAATAATAGAACAGTCTAGGGGACATTTTTCAGCATTTTTTCTTTTACTTTTAATACTTTAAATGCTTTTTTAAGGTTACATACTTTTACTGAAGTAACACTTTAAAAGCCTGACCTTTACAAAGTACTTTTACAGTGTGGTATTAGTACTTACTGAATACTTCTTCCAGGACTGCAAACAGCTGAGAGGAGAGAGGAAGAGGAGTGATGAAGCAAGCTAGACAGACAGACAGACAGAGGGATGTGGGAATGTATATCTGCTGATCTATGCTTCACTGATGGATGGTCTCACCTTGGCTTGGGACTTGAGCAGCTTTGGCTAGGTAGGGAGAAGTAATACCTGCGGATCAATACCCTGTCAGCTCCACGTCCTTGAGCTGGTTGAGCAGAGTTAACAGATGACTCACTCATATTTCAGAAAATGCAAGCAGCAAGGTCGTGATTATAAAACAAAATCATTTGAATATTAAATCCATAAATACACACCATAAGCTGGATGGAGACAGAGGAGGCCACGGGCTGATTTATGGGATAAACTTCCAAGATTTCCGGCTTTGTTTCCCACCATAAACTCATGGTATACTCTTTTCTGGGACATCATTAAGGTTTGAAGTAAGGGTTTAATTGAGTAGCTTTGTCATATTTTATCTTTTAGTACACAACACTATCAGGATGATATTTCATTTAAGTTTCAACCTCTTTTTTTACCACATATTGCCTCAGGATCCTAAAGCTGATCACTAAACTGATAAGGGACTGGATGGTTAAATGTATTCATGTTGACATTCTCACAGTCAGGATGTCAGATTGGTCCCAAAGTGCTACTTTTGAACTGAGCATCTGTCGGTTTTCTCTCTGTAAAATGATAAAGATTGCATTGCCTCCTCAAGTTCAACACTTTCTTGCAAAGAAAATCTGTTTTTGGTAAAAAAAAAAAAAAA